TCAGAGACATTCTGCATAGGAGGTGGAAGGAGAGGGATCAAAACAGCAGGTGGGAAGAACACAAGGGACTATGGTGATGCTTCATGGGTGAATTGGTGGTGGGACTATGATGGGGACTACACTTGAGAGGTGAAATCAAACATCGTACAAAAATGAATAATGATGTACTATAAATATATAAATCTTCTTCCCCTAACCCCTCTGCCAAAAATGAAAAAAAAAAAAAACCCAAAACATCTAGGATCAGACAACTTTACAAATAAAATTTATCAAAACTATACTTTTATTTTATTTTTATTTTTTAAAAAGATTTCCAAAATGTCCTGAAGGATTATCTTCAATGTATTCTTATATATATATTATATATATTTTTTAATTTATAATATATATATATTTTAAAAGATTTATTTTATTTATACAAGAGCTGGGGTACAGGCCAGTGGCTTGGGAGAGTGAGATGGTTCACCAGAGACAGAGCAGGGAGCAGAACAGGCAGAAGCACTGAAAGCACTGCTGAGGGGAGCAGTGGGTGAGACAGGAGAAGGTCTGCTGCTCCATGTGATTCTCTCCCTGGCCGGGCCAGGAATTGAACCTGAGCTGCAGAGGCTGCGGACAGCTTCACAGCGCTGAGCTCAACCTGCTGCGCCACTGCGGAGGCCCCAAAACTATACTTTAAAAAAAATATTTATTGAGAAGAACTGGGTGTTGGCCAGAGGTGTAGGGAGTGAGAGGATTCACCAGAGACAAAGTGGGGAGCAGAACAGGCAGATCTACTGAAATATACTAGAGAAGGGAGCAGCGGGTGCCATATGTGGTTTAGCTTCTTAGCTGGGGATCGAACTCAAATTCTAGTGGTGATAGTGCTGAGACTTAAACCCTAGGCCACCAGGAAGGCCCTATGAAGAATACTTTCTAACACATTCTATGGTACCAACATTATCCTAACACTAAAACCAGAGATAGCACACACAAAAAGAAAACTACAGACCCAACAACCCTGATAAACACCGATGCAAAGATTCTCAACAAAATACTAGCAAATCAAATTCAACAATATAGTACAAAGATTATACATTATGATGAACTGCTATTTATTTTAGCAAAGCAAGAATGGTTTAATATATGCAAATCAATTGGTATAATACACTACAGCAAGAAAAGGATGTATAAAAACAATTGATAATATCAATAGATTCAGAGAAAGCATCTGATAGATTCTCACCCATTTATGATAAAAATTCTTAACAAGATTGGAATAAAAGGAACCTACCTCAGTAGAACCCAATAAAGATCATATATCATAAACCCACAACCAATTTTACACTTAATGGTGAAAAACTGAAAGCTTCCCCCCTTTTTTTTTAAAGATTTATTTATTTGTTCACACAAGAGTTGGGGTACAGGCCAGAGATGTGGGGGGTGAGAGGATTCACCAGAGACAGAGTGGGGAACAGAGCAGGCAGATTGACCGAAGTACACTGCTGAAAGGAGCAGCGTATGAGACAGGAGAGGTCTGCTGTACCATGTTGGCTGCTCCCTGGCTGGCTGGGGATGGAACTTGTGCTGCAGAGCCTATGGATCGTGCTTCATAGTACGGTGCTTAACCCCTTGCACCACCGGGGAGGGCCAGCTTTCCCTTTGAGATCAGGAACAAGGCAAAGATGCCACTGACACCACTACTGCTTATGTAGCATTCTTGACTTGAACTAGAGCAATCAGTCAAGAAGAAGAAATAAAAGGGGGCCTCCCTGGTGACACAAGGGGCTAAGTCTCAGCACTATGAAGCTATCGGCAGCCACTGCAGAACAAGTTCAATCCCTGGCCAGGGAGCTGATCCACATGGCAGAGCAGACTTCTCCTGTCTTGCCCACTGCTCCCCTCAGCAGTGTATTTCTATCAATCTGCCTGTTCTGCTCCCCACTCCATCCCTGGTGAATCCACTCACCCTCCATGCCTCTGGCCTACACCCCAGTTCTTTTTTTTTTTCAAAGATTTATTTATTTATACAAGCACTGGGTACAGTCAGAAGTGTGGGAGGGTGAGAGAATTCACCAGAGCCAGAACGGGGAGCAGAGCAGGCAGACCTTCGAAGTACACTGCTGAGGGGAGTAGCGGGCGTGGCAGGAGAGATCTGCGCGCCAAGTGGGACCCTCACCAGCAGCCGGGGATCAAACTGGGGCTGCAGAGGCTACGGGCAGCTTCGCAGCGCAGCACTCAACTGCTGCACCACCGGGGAGGCCCCGACACCCCAGTTCTTGTTTGCATAAATAAATAAATCTTTTTTTAAAAAAAGAAATAAAAGGAATCCAAATTGGAAAAAAAATGCAAATATCATTATTTGCAGACAATACAATAGTATATATAGGAAACCCTAAAGATTCCACCAAAAAACTCTCAGTAACAATATATTAAGCCATGGGTTACAAAATTAACATACAAAAATCTGTTGCAGTTTTCTATACAAATAATAAGTGAGAAGAAAAGGAATGAAAATAACTCCATTTACGATCATATCAAAGAGAATAAAATACCTAAGAATTAATTTAGTTAAGGAGGTGAAGAACTTACACAATGAAAACTATAAGACACTATTGAAGGATATAGAAGCAAACATAAAGAGATGGAAAGATACTGCATGTTCACAGATGGGGAGATTTAATATATTAAAATGATGATTTTTTAAAAAAAAGATTTATTTATTTATTTATGCATACAAGAACTGGGGTACAGGCCAGAGGCGTGGGGGGTGAGAGGATTCACCAGAGACAGAGTGGGGAACAGAACAGGCAGATTGACTGAAATACACTCCTGAGGGGAGAAGCAGGCAAGACAGGAGAGGTCTGCTGCGCCATGTGTGTAGCTCCCTGGCTGGCTGAGGATCAAACTTGTGCTGCTAGGAGGCCCTAAAATGATGATTTTTACTAAAAGTAACATATAGACTTAATACAATCCCCATTAACAGTCCAATATCTTTAAGGAAATAGAACAAAAAAATGTAATACTTTATATGGGCCTCTCCGGTGGCACAAAGTGTTAAGCAAAGCACTGTGAAGCTATTGGCAGCCACTGCAGCAAAAGTTTGATCCCAGCCGACCCAGGGAGCTACCTACATGGAGCAGCAGACCTCTCCTTTCTCGCCCACTGCTCCCCTCAATAGTGTAATTAAGTAGATCTGCCTGTTCTGCTCCCCACTCTCTCTGGTAAATCCTATCACCGCCCCCCTCCACCCCCCATGTCTGGCTGTCACTCCAATTCTTGTATGCATAAATAAATCTTTTTTTAAAATGTTGGCAAATGTTGCTGTGAAGGTATTCTTTTAAAGGGGATATTTAAATCAGTAGGCTTTTTTGTAAAGCAGATTATCCTCCATAATGTGGCTGTTCTCATGAAATGAATTGAAGACCTTAAGAGAACAAGACTGAGATGTCATTCTAGGAACAGGGAATTCTGTCTTCAGACTCAGAACTGAAACATCAACTCTTTCTTAGGTTTCTAAACTACTGGCCTGGCCTGCAGATCTCCATCTCTGTCTCTCCCTCTCCCTCCCTCTCTCTCTCTCACACACAAACACACACACTTTTAGTTGTTTCTCTGGAGAACCCTGGTGAATACATTGTCAAAATGCCAAATCAGAATGTGATTTGAGAAAGGATTTATAGGCTGTTTTGGCGAATAACAAACAAACTGGGGGTTATAGTTTTGACATCAAAATATTAGAATTTCTAGTATATTGCCTAATTAACCTATAAATTGGCATTTTAATCAGGGCTGTGTTAGAAAATGGTTATGGATTAAGCATATACATAGTTTGTGCCAATTTTTCCCAGTTACATAGCCCTAATACTGCTTAGAGGACTTCATAGCATTCCTCAGGAAAAGAAGACACACTTTGGAGCATTGCTGTCCTGTGGCATTGCCTATGATGATGATAATGTTGTATAATTATGCTATCCAATACAGTAGCCACTAGCTACATATGGCTAGTATGACTGCAGAGTTGAATTTTAAATTTTACTTCATTTAAATTTAGTTTAGGGGCCTCCCTGGTGGCGCAAGGGGTTAAGCACCGCATTATGAAGCAGTCCACAGCCACTGCAACACGAGTTCAATCTCCGGCCAGCCAAGGAGAAACCCATATGGCAAAGCAGACCTCTCCTGACTGGCCCGCTGCTCCCCTCAGCAGTGTACTTCGGTCAATCTGTCTGTGCTATTCCCCATTCTGTCTCTGGTGAATCCTCTCACTGCCCCCCCACCCCCCGCCCCGGCATCTCTGGCCTGTATGCCAGCTCTTGTATGCATAAATAAAATAAATCTTTAAAAATAAATAAATAAATTTAGTTTAGGGGCCTCCCTGGTGGCGCAAGCGGTTAAGACGCAGCCTGTGAAGTTGTCCACAGCCTCTGCAGCACGTTTTCGATCCCCGGCTGGCCAGGGAGCAACCCACATGGCTCAGCAGACCTCTCCTGACTCGCCCACTGCTCCACTCAGCAGTGTACTTGGGTCGATCTTCCTGTTCTGTTCCCCACTCTGGTGAATCCACTCACCCCCTACACCTCTGGCTTGTGCCCCAGCTCTTGTATGCATAAATAAAATAAATCTTAAAACAAATAAATTTAGTTTAAATTTCAATAATGGCATGTGGCTATTGTAATGGAGAGTGCAGAAATTTACGAAGTGGGGTTGGTTAAAATGTCAATTCAGTCTCCGAATAAACTGGTTGAAGAGGGAAACATTGGAAGACATCTGGGGGTTGTCACACCCTTCTGGTTAGCACCTGTCACTTATATTTTCCTAGTGTACTTGTTAGTTAATGTTCTGCTGCTAAAATGTAGGTTCCATAAGAGCAGGTGCTGCCTGTGTGGCTTATACCACCTGGTATACACAACATTCACTGACACTTGAAGCTGTGTGAGAGTGGCTAGTTAGGGAGGCACTGGCCAGCCTTACAGTGCCTGGGCACCACCTGGCTGCAGGCCCCAGTGGCCTACCTGCTTGCTTACCTGTCTGCATGAGCACAGAGGGTCTTGAGCTTGGGCCTGGCAGCATTTTTCCTCTGCTGGGCTGACATCCCATCATTTCTCCGGAGAATTTTCAGAGGCACACAATCAAGCAAAATCTGAAAGAGAAACTGCTATGTGGACAGAGCTATGAGGACACAGCTATGGTTCAGGACTTGGTCCCACATACTGCCCCCCTCAACCAGCAGACTCAACCCTGCTGACTGCTTGCTGACATAGGTGAGTGGTTTCCTTCCTGTCACACCCATACCTCTACCTGACTCTGAAGGCTCTCTGCAAACTGGACCCTGTTATCTCTGTATCCCATCTTTTCTTTCCTTTTTTTAAGGATTTATTTTTTTATACAAGCACTGGGTACAGTCAGAAGTGAGGGAGGGTGAGAGGATTCACCAGAGACAGAGCGGGGAGCAGAACAGGCAGACTGACAAAGTAAACTGCTGAGGGGAGCAGCCGGCGCTGCAGGAGAGGTCTGCGCGCCATGTGGGACCCTCACTGGCGGCCGGGGATTGAACCGGCGCTGTGGAGGCTGCGGACAGCTTTGCAGCCCAGTGCTCAACAGCTGTGCCACTAGGGAGGCCCTGTATCCCATCTTTTCTATGGGGTAGATATGCTTGATTTTTTGTTTCTGGGCCTTGGTGTATGCTGTGCCCCTTCCCATTAACTGGAATGCTCCATCTTCTCCCCCTTTGGCCCTGTCTGGATCCCATCCCTCCACAGGAAGAGTCCCCTGAACCTTCCAGCCCTCACTTATTATTCCTATGTCCTACTTGGAAACATTTCCTGGGTGGCAGGAGACAATGTAGGACAGAGAGATCATTTCAGACATACTAGGACCCATGCTAAGGTCAGAGGTGGACAAAGGGAACCCTAGGAGGCTCGGGAGCTGGTGTCACAGAACAAAGATTATTATGTATGACACAGTATGACACAGAGCTTTGGAGAATTGGTTATCGAACCACTTCCCCTTTTTGCCTCTATTTCCTCATCTGAAAAATGGGGATAACAACATCCAACATAAGGGTCCAAGAGATAACACATGTGAAGAGCCTGGCCAGGGGCCGCTTTTCCTTTATCATTCCCTGAAAGTCACTTAGCAGAGGCCACTCAGGGAGCCGCGCCTTCTCTCCCAGTTGTTATACTCCTTCCCAAGTTTTAATTATTCATTAGCATGCTTACTTGTTTAATCTGCCATTATTCTATAGTTCAATGAGGGCAAGGACCTCCTTTTGTTTGCGAGTCTCCTCCAACATTTTATGTAGTACTTCAATACATAAGTAAATGAAAATGATGATTAGCTCTTTGGACAGCTGTCTTCGAATAATTCAAATTCCCAGGTTTCCAGGATAATGTTGATTTTTTCATCATTTTATTAGTGTTTTGGGGGAAATGTTATTCTTTCAGATCACTCCATTCTTTTAAAGACAAGGCATACTTAGACCAGTCTGGTTGCATTCAGGATATTTATCAAGTTTGTGCCAAGGACAGGGGTCTGCACTTCTTACCTGCTTGGCTTACCAGGGAAACCTGGTATTTACAACACTCACTGACCAATCCCCTGGACTGTCACTTGAAGCTGTGTGGCCTGGTAACACAGTTGCCTCTGTCTTTGCCTTTGAACACCCCCTGCCCAGGTGAGAACGGGGGTCTGTCATTATCATTATCGTGGAGTGAGTTCCAAGGCCTCACAGGTCTGTTCTAAAGAGTAAAGATCCTGCCTTAGAAGATGGAACACCCGTGTATCTGTGCAAGGTACTTGTCTTGCATCTGCAGTTTCATGTCATTAGCCAGGAAAGAACTGGATAACTTTGCTGCTGCCTCTCATGGGGCGTATTCACAGGAGAGAAGCTTTTTAACACAAAATACAGCAATTAATAGGAAAAGGCTCTCAGTAGCCACTTCCTGTTCAGACTTCGGTAACTTGAAGGCTGGACAGCCTGAGATGGGAAGTGGCACCCCTCAGGTCAGGTTTTTAACCTTTCTCCTGCTCCCCAGTCTCTCCTTTACTCTTAGGTATGAGGTACTGGTCCTGTACTTAATTGTGCAGGCATTAGTGATTAATTCGAACAACCAGCTTGAGCTGTGTGAGCTCAGGCAAAGCATTCTGAGTTGGCAGAGACTTCAGATCTCATCTGTGAACCAGATACAGACCAATCCATAGTGGGGAGAGGTGGAGCAGCCTGGAACAGAGTGGACACTCAGCAAAGGTTTGCTTCCTTTCCCCTCTTTCAACAAGACTATCACCATGATCACCACCTGCATTAAACCCAGAAACTTCTTCCTGCTGCAGGTGGAGTTGGGGGATGGGCCCAAGGAGGCAGGAACACTGTACTCATACTGCAAGTCCCCCAGCAGACTCTATCACTTCCCTTCCAGGGGATGGTCAGGCCTAAGAGGTTGTACTAGCCAACAGTTTTGAGAGAGATAATCTAATTGTTACACAAGTGTTTGAGCAATTTGCTATGTGTTAGGCATTTTCTAGGGGCCAGGACAAGTGAGAAGAAAGCAGTAAAAAGCCATTGAGACTAGCACACTGTCCATAGTTGTTTTGGATCTTTCACTTGACCCTTTGAGAAGCTGGCAGGGTTGAAAATCCATTCACATATAATAACTAGGGCCGGAGAGGGCAACTTTGTTCTCATTGTCATTTAGCTAGTTAGTGCAGGGCTGGGTCTACAACCCACGTCTGTTTTTGTGTGAAAGGTACGTGTGAAAGGTTTTATGTGAAAGGTTTTGTGTGAAAGGCAGTGGAGGTATGTGTGATGAATATGCACTGAGCTAAAGGGAGACATCACACTCTCTTTCCACTGAGAAATATCACCTTTTTGAGAGAAGCCACAGACGCTAGAGTTGAAAGTGTCTCAGAGATTATAACCCATACTCCTCTTATTCACTGATGTTGATGGCTGTGGCTCAGAGAGGGCCAAAGTCATACAGCAAGCAAATAGCCAAGATGGGACCAGAACAGGAAAAAAGGGGGATACTAATACTCCAGGGGGGCAAGGTAGAAGGGGGAAGTCTTATTCTTCCAGGGACCCTTAAGAGACCAACCCTCTTACAACCTCAGCGGAACCACGTCTCCTTTTCTTTGAGCTACTTTTTCAACTGTAAAACCCACTCCTGTCTCTGAGCAAACCATCTTTCCTCACAGTCCTAAGGTCATCAGAAAACAAAAGCAAGCATACTTACTGGTTTCCTGTCATCAGAGGCTTGGTGCGCGGGCTCAACTAAGATGCATGCTTTGGTCCGTGAGGTTAGGGCTTGGGGGGCCCTTCTGGAAGTCTGTCAATGTCCCTAGTAGTAGGACTCCCAGAACCTTTTTGTCTGGGAGAATCTCCAGAGAGAGGCTCTTCGTAGTGCTTTGGGTAGCTCCGCATCTACCGGTTGTCAGCAGTTTGTGCACCTGGGATGGGACAGGAGCCCCATGCTCCTTAGTGATGCCCGACTGGACAACTCTTGAAAGCACAGCTGGACCAGGCAAGAAGGCCCAGGGCTGTTTGAGCTCTGACAGGGTCCTAGGGGCTCCCAGCTCACATCTGCAGCCTCTGTGGTTCTCACAACCACCCGTTTCCTCTGACGGCATCACAAACCATAGAGGAGCCACCTTCCCCAAGTTCCTGTTTCTGGGGAAGAAGCAGCTGCCTTGTCATGATCCTGGAGGGAGAGGTTTTTCTCTGACTTTGTGGCTTGGTCTTGCCCCAGGAACACAGAACTAAGGTAAATAAACAGGAATTTTCCATTCTTGCCTGATCATAACAAACACCTGAGGGGCTTGTTAGTGTGTGAATCTTGGAATCCTCCCACATCTTCTGATTCTAAGTCACCAGAGATGCAGCCTAGGAACCTGCATCTTAAAATATACCGAGAGATTCCTTTGACTAGCCTTGAATGCTGTGACCCAACTTTTAAAATGTATAGGAATTCCCTGAGGATCTTGCTCAACACTTCTAGTTCAGTGATTTGGTGTGGAGTTCAAGATTCTGCAGAACAAGTGCCAAATGATGCCCCTGCTGCTGGCCGGGGGGCCACACATTGAGTTGTAAGACCTAAACAGTGGTCCCCAAGTGTGGTCCCCAGGCCAGCGGTTTCTGCATCTTTGAGGAATGTGTTCGGCACATACATTCTCAGGCCCCATCTCAGATTTACTGAATCAGAAACTCCACAGGTCGGGCCAGCAATCTTTTTACAAATCCTTCAGGTGATTCATTCTGTTGCACACCTCAAGCTTGAGAATCATCCATAAAATTCCTAGCTTATTAACATTTATATAAACATACCCCTTTGCTGCCCTTCTATTAGAAAGCTTGGTATTGCTGGAGGCAGACTTAAAAAAAAAAACACAAAATGACTCCTGACTTCAGTTCACACTACACAGCATTATCCAGGTTTCTGCAGAAGGTTGGTTTGAGATTTACATCTATGAACAGTTGGCATGGAGAACTGAAGGAGCAAGAGTGGAGATGCAGCCACTCAAGTTCTAACCAAGATGTTAGGATGGGTGACAGCCATGAGATGTGGCCCATGGCAGGGAGGGCACGGAGCACAGGCCCACCTCCTGCTCCTGCCTCCAAACCATTCTGATGGTTTGGAGTATGTGAATCTTGGAATTCTTTTTTTTTTTTTTTTTAAAGATTTATTTATTTATTTATACAACCTCTGGGTACAGTCAGAAGCGCGGGAGGGTGAGAGAACTCACCAGAGCCAGAGCAGGGAGCAGAGCAGGCAGAAGGACTGAAGCACACTGCTGAGGGGAGCAGCCGGCGGCAGGAGAGGTCTGAGCGCCATGTGGGACCCTCCTCAGGTGGCTGGGGAGCAGCCGGGGATTGAACTGGCACTGCAGAGGCTGCGGGCAGCTTCACAACCCAGCGCTCAACCGCTGCGCCACCCGGGAGGCCCGGAATTCTTTTTTGACAGGCAAATCTTCAGACTGGTCTCAAGGTGAGGTCCATGCATGAGGCAGGAAGTAAGGAATGATCATTTCTGGACTCTTTTTTAACAATTCCACTATATACTCTCCCTTTCCAATCAGGGAGGCACCTAAGAATCAGATGCTTACTAGTTTGTCAATCATTTGTAAAGTAGTTACTTCTGGGCCTGTTCCTCACCCATAAAATGGAACTAGCATGTAGCTAACTGGTTCAATAGAAGGAAATATACAGGAAGGTGCTAAGGACCCAGTTTATAGCAGGTACCTGATGAAAGGCTGAATAACATAAAAATGTATTTATTTTGGAAGAACTGGGAACATTTTTCAAACTATATGACCTTGCTCAAGTTGCCAACTCTCACCAGCTTGTTTGTAAACAAATACCATCTACTGTACAGAGTTGCCATGAAAACTGGGTGAGACCACATACATGGGAGTTTTACACAATCATCTTGTGTAGAGGCTACATGGCCACTTCCTTGCCTCTCACAAAGCAGGCACCCAGGGTTTTTTGGACTCAACAGGCGGAAAGGAAGTGAAAATAAGAGGAATGAGTGAGGTAAGGCCCAAATGGGAGCACTTAGGTAGGGCTTGACTCCAGGTACAAGGCTGAAGAGGGAAAGTAGGCAGCCACCCATTCTGAGTGTGGCCAAGACACTGTGGCCAGAGCAATGTGTGTGTTTTTTTTTTTTTTTTAAGATTTATTCAGTTATACAAGAACCGGGGTACAGGCCAGATGTGAGGATGGGAGGATTCACCAGAGACAGAGTGGGGTACAGAACAGGCAGACTGATGAAATACACTGTTGAGGGGAGCAGTGGGCACGATAGGAGAGGTCTGCCACACCATGTGGGTATCTCACCGGCTGGCCGGCATTGAACCCGCACTGCAGAAGCTGCAGACAGCTTCACAGCGATGCACTCAACCATCTGTGCCACGAGAGCAGTCCCAGAGCAATGTGTTTTAAGAGCAACTGTGACCATCAGATCTCCTCCAGAACTGTGTCGGCCTATATTGTCAGGAATTCAGCGTGGTGACCTGTATCTGTCCACATTCATCCGTTTCATCTCCTCCACCAGAATGAACAATGTGCATGTCATTTTACAAATCCTCTTCTGACACAGCAATCTCCATGTACTATGGTAGCAGTAGCTCCTGGATCATTCAAAACTCAACTGAGATAGTAGTCTCCTGAAATTTATTCTTTTTTTTTTTAATTTATTTTTTATTTATTTATACAAGCACTGAGTACAGTCAGAAGCGCAGGAGGGTAAGAGAATTCACCAGAGCCAGAGCGGGGAGCAGAGCAGGCAGAAGGACTGAAGCACACTGCTGAGGGGAGCAGCGGGCGGCAGGAGAGGTCTGAGCGCCATGTGAGACCCTCCTCCAGTGGCCGGGGAGCAGCTGGGGATTGAATCGGCGCTGCAGAGGCTGCAGGCAGCCTCACAACCCAGCACTCAACCGCTGCACCACCGGGGAGGCCCTCCTGAAATTTATTCTTGGTGAGTACGAGCCATTTCTGGAGAAACACAGCCTGGTCTGTTTGAGGAACCGAGACAAGTAGTTGCAGATGATTACATGAACAGTAGGACCAGGCACTCCACACAGATGGTCTAGCAGAAATGTGGAACACCTTTCCAAGACCAGAGCTTCTCATTGCAAGCAGTCAGGCTTCTCATGATTTTAAGTTTGAGGGGACTACAGCATGTCAAAGAACCTTGGGATTCAATCCTGGCTGGGCTGACTATTATAACCTTGGGCAAATCATTTATCTTGAGCCTTCATTTCCTCACTAGATGGGATAACAATCAATATGTGAAAATGTTCAACATGGAGCCCATATATAGTAGCCTCAGTCCCACCCTGATTCCCAGTGAGTGTCTTGAAAGAAATAATACCAGCAATCAGGTAACAATGAGACATATACAGCTTTATTTAATAATCTGTAAAAAGTTGTACTTGGGCAGAGTAACACATTCCCTGTCTCAGCAGAAAGCGAACACGGTGTCTGACATGGCCCTTCCTAAGGTTCGGAACTGTGACCCTGAGCTTACATCTCAATGCCCTCAAGAGCTGTGCCTTCGCTGTGTGGCAGCTGGTTTCACTCTCCTCCCAGTGATACTTTCTGGCTGGCAATGACCCCCTCACATAGCAACAGACAGGAGGCTGAACACAATTTTACCTGGACTGGCTGCCCTTACAGACCGGGCCCTTTTCCTCCTACAAAAAGGGAGTTCACTGGATTAAGAATCTTCCCGAGAAACATGTTCTGTGTCAATTTCAATTAGCTTCCATTAAGTTTTCTGAAATCAAGATTGTCTTTATTAAACATTATCAGGTTAGTATTTGTTCCTCTCCCCCAGCTATTTCCTCACCATCTATGTAATTTTCAGGCTAGACCTCTTCCTTTTGGGGACACAGAAGGATAGAACACTCTCTATTAGAGAGCTGGGAGACACTTTTTACAGATGTCTGGTAAGTGGTATTAGACACTGTAAGGATAGCAGTTCTGCTCTGGCAGAGTGGAGGTCTGGTGTTTTATTCTGTGCAAAGAGTCCAGTAGTGAAGCCACACTCACTTCTTGGGAAAAATCTCCATGTTGCATGAGAACGTCATGTTAGAGGGCTGCTGAGAAAATATCTCCCTCCCTTTTGTTTATAGAATATGTGAATTCATTCTGACAGGAACAGGAGGCTGGCCACACTATAACAGGTATCCTTCTAATCGATAAACAGCCCAAAAGCAATTATGATCTGCCACATTCTTCAGACCTGCTCTCTCCTGAAGTCACTCTGCAAATCTTGCTGACCAATTTGTAACCAAAAGAGAATGCAGTGGCCTATCCAACCTAGAAACCCATTCTGCATGTTTCCCCTAAAAACACCATTGAAAATCAAAAAAGAAAAAATCCCTTTTTTTTTTTTGCAGAAGCTCTACAAGAAAGCATGTCTAAAATCACAGAACTATGCACACACAAACACAGACACGCGTGCTCACACACATACATCAGGATCAAAGAATCTTATCAGATACATTGTTAGGAAAGCACAGGAAAAAGCTGGCAAGAGAAGATATGGTGATTTGATCAGCTAAAGATGTTGGAATGTTACAGTAATGGCATGGAAGTGGTTCTTGGTACATACAAAAAGGGGGGGTGGACAGGCAGAAAGAATGATAAATCCAGGATACCAGATAGAGTCAGTGGCCATGCAGGAGTTAAAGATAGTAGATGCCAGTTTGCTGGATGAAATGTTATATAATGGAGTGGTCATTTGAAGGAGAATGGACTTGTATGGTCCAAGGGAGGAGCATCTGCTTAGCAGGACAACTCCATGGTCTGGTGTCTGTCCAGAACATCAGGGGACTCAGAGGATTCTTGAGTTCCATCTGAATGACTGCTGGTGACAGATCGGCTGAAGGCACTTTCTCCAGAGCCGATGCTGCTACTCGAGATTGAGTGGGTTCGTGATCGGGCGAGCCGGGTCATGCTGGCAGATGGTACTGTAAGAAAGAACCAAGAGGACTAGAAGATGTAGCCCTGGTTAAGTCTGGCTAAACTAGAATGTTCATAAAAGGCTTTATGTTTAGCTTTCCCAACCCATTTAAGGTGACACCCAGGATAAGATATAGCTGTCTTCACTTTGCATTATTT